CTGACTGTACAGTCACAAAGCCCGTTCCTTTTTTGAGGAAACAAAGCAAGTAGCAGTTGAAGTTGCCATGAGAGGTAAGAATCTGTGTCAGAGCGTGGGTTGTACTCAGAAAGGTAAGATGGGTTCTTTGACAAACGTCAGGAAGAAACCTGTGAGTAATGCGCCCAGTGAAGCTGCTGTCCCAGTCTTTCTGCCACTTTGTCATGATGATGGTAGAGATTTCTTTGCTCAGGTGGGAGAGTGGAGCTGAGGTGTAGGAGTAATGAGAGGTCAGTTTATGAGCCTTCTTTGCAAGCTTATCTGCTGTTTCATTACCACTATTACCAGAATGGCCTCTGACCCAGAAGTTGATGGTAGTAACTCCTTCTAAGGCACTAAGGCACTAATTATATCAAGACTTTTGAGGATAGTTGGTAGTTTACGATTTTCTTTCCTAATCTGTTGCAGTGCAGTTCGACTGTCACTGATGATATTAACAACTTTCCCAGAGAACAAGTGAGTATTATCTTGAATGTACTTTAAAGCCTTCCAGATTGCTAAAAGACTCTGCCTGATTGTTTGAGCAGTTCTTGTATAGCTTGTAGGCTGCATCCCAGAAGAGCCGTTTTTGAGGATCCTCCAGATGGGTGGGTGCCAACTACACCTGTAACTTTGGAACCGTCGGTGTAGATGCTGAGCCCTTTCATAATTGGGGGGAATGGAAGTCGAAATTGGAGGTGATACTGTGAGCTGGGTGGCTGTTGATGCGATCCATATTGACGTCCAAGCCACAATGCAAGAGATCATCAATCAGTGGGTGGATTGTGTCTGGTAATTTATATTTGTCGATCAGATGATGAATGGATTCAGGGCTGGCATTGCTGGAAAGCTTACTCACCAGCAGGTTCCTGACATATTTGTACGTGATAACTAGATTGATCGGGGTTAGTCCAGCAATCACTAGCAAAGCGTCTGTGGGGGCTGTCTTGTAAGATTTGGTGATCGCTATGGCGGCGGTCCACTGAGCCGAGGGGAGCTTCCTGCGGATATGAACCTTACTTGCCGCGTAACCCCACACCTCACAGCAGTAGGTGAGAATAGGTTCTATCGCACTTTTATAGATGATTTTACTGTTGTTATTATCTAGGCCCCACCCATTCTTGGCAATTGACCTCAGTTTATGACTGACACTGATGGCTTTATGTGGTTTAGCGCATGGATGCTACACACCAAAATATCGTATAACGCTTCCAATGATTCTTTCTAGGCCCAGCACAACTTCCTTATCATCAAATGTCACTGCACACCACTGGTGTCTACAAATGACAAGTGCAATAAAAGTGGAAAACAAGCACTTTTGTTAGACTATTTGTTAAAAATAAATCTTGAGAATACACTCAAGATTTATTTTTACAAAATAGTACAAATAGTCTGCTCTGAAGTGGCTGTTGTCCAAATTTCATGTCGTTATGACCCATAAAGCACCCTGCACAGCTCTCCAAGTTGGAGAGGTTTAATTTCGATAACTATGTACTTAATAGAATACATTATGCTCATTTACCTGCTCACTATTACTTAATAGTAGAGTGTTTCAAATGCAGTGTTTTTCACTTAATGCACTTAGTTTTGTGTTGTCAAGTCTACTTTCCACAGTAATTGAGTGACACTTCTTGCATTTATCTCTTACTAGATTTACCATTGTTTTGGATGCATTTTTGAAGGACTAATCATAAAAGTTTATAAAATTGGAAACAATAGCAAAAAATGCCATTACTCCAGCATTACCACTTCAATGCTACCTTACCAGTGGCAATGGAATGTCATCAGAATTTGCGTGAAAATGACAATATGCAGTAGAAATAAATCCATATTTATTATTTATTACTGGCCAAAGACTGACTTCAATGCCATTCCACAACCAACAAGAGAACTTCAGTATATGTGCAAATTTAAATTTTAGACATTTGATCAAATTACAGTGGTGCCTCGTACAACGTACTTAATCCGTTCCAGGTGCACGTCCGTTAAGTGAAACGTCCGTTATACGAAACGCATTTTCCCATAGAAATACATGTTAAAACATATAATTCGTTCCGCAGCATAAAATAACCGTACTGTACCATAAAAAATGAAAATGGAGCAGACACCAATTATGCCGGGTAGTCAGATGTTGTGAGGAGGAGGTGGAAGAACACTTTCTTTACACATTCATACAGATACAGACTTTTTACACATTGCAGCGGGTCTTTTTTTTATTGTTTTTTTAATCGGAGTCATATTCAGGAGAGGCTACCGGAACTTGCAGGGTCAACTTCTCTTGTTCCATCCTTTGTTTTTTGCCCGCTGGCTTCTTGAAAAACATGACCAAGGTGGTCTGTTTCTCTTTCTTCTTTAACACCTGTCGGAAATGACGGACAAAGGTGTCATCGTAGAGATCATTGATCCTGTTGGCCTCAGCTCTGTTTGGATAATGAGTGTTGGTAAACTCCTGAACCTCTCCCCATTCGACAAGAAAGTTTTTGTCAACTTTCACTCCTGATGATTTCTTGCTTTGTTTCAATTGAAATCACCTTTCTGTTTTTTTAGAAGCCATGATGCATTATAAATGACTTAACTTGCCAGATTATATGATACGAATAATTCTTTATTAATTAAGATCACTAAACACTTCTACGAGCTACTCTCGCTCCGTTTGTTTTTTACAACCTCTTTTCGTCCCGCCACCTCGGCATCTACACAATTACATTTCGTTTATTTGAATCGTCAACATATATTACATTACATTTAATGTTTATTTAAATCATCAACATATATTACATTACATTTCTACTTCAGATATACTAATAATACATTCTAATAATACTAATATATCCTAAAAATAGCAGATTGTCATTGGCAACGGCAAAAGAGTGGAAACATCATTCGCACTTGTTCGAAAAAAGTCCATTGTTCGTCTCACGTAACTGCCGAACGGAAAGTCTGTTGTTCGCAGCAAGTCCGTTGCTCGAGTCACGTAACAGTCAAACAGAAAGTCCGTTATTCGAGGCGTACATTATACGAGGCACCACTGTATTTGTAAGTAGGGGATCTCCTGTATTATGATAGAAATAAGCAAATAAACAGTCTCAACAGTTTATTTAATAGTCATTATTAATAAAAAAAATTGACGTCATTAGATGTATAATTAAGTGAATAATTTATAATACAAAAGATCGATTGTAGAAAATATTAAGATTTGCATAGAATATATATAAACAACACAATGTCACATTGTCAATATGAATTGAAATTAACCTACTCTAACATAAAGTTAATCAGAAGAAAAATTAATTTGAGTAAACACCAATATTAGTTTTGTATAATTAAAGAAGACAACAGTATAATTTGTCAGTTCCTGATGGACTACAATTATTGATTGACTTTACCATATTTGTTGTACTGTCTATAAATTCCCACTGTAGTTCGTCTGGCTTTCCTTAATCTTGAAAATAGTTAGATAGAAAGACAAGGCCCTGGAAACCTTAGAGGCAGGAGGCCCTGATTAACTATATGGACTTCCAATGCAAACCAGAAGTCACATTATTTCAACTCAAAAAATTTTTCCCTGAATGCAGTTAACAGATGATTGGTATGACTCTATTGTTAAAGGAAAAGTATGATGTACAGGGGCAAGACTCTACTAATAATTTGAAGTGGAGAACATATATTTTAAATTAAAAATATAATTATAAATTGAAACCCAGCATTGTTACAATGTCACAATAAATAATTGCTCATTAGCTTTAATTTATTTTATTTAACCCTTTGCTTCCGCCATCTTGTTTACATTTATCTTGTGTTCCCTCCTAAGGCAATATAGGTCAGTCAGGCGATATTATTTTAAAAATTTGCCAAAAATCAAATTATCATTATATTCATATGAAAAAAAATTACATACATTTATTAATATATTTTGTTTTAAATACAATATTTTTTAATACACTTTATTAAAAAATTTATAAGAAAAAAATCGCCAATAAAAAAAAAATAAAATATGAGAACTGAACGGCATAACTTCAGTATTTATAACACGTTGACTTACTATAGCTAAATAAACTTATTATAGCATAAATGAACTTATTATAGTGATATTATTTCATGAATATGCTAAAAATAAAATAAAAAATTATCAGAAAATAAATAAATCAAGAATAAAAAGCATTAATTAAAATTTTTTAAGTCAACAAAACACCACCTGGAGAAAAATATGTAAAACAGATGATAGACAAGATGGTGCTATCAAGTGCTGATATCTGTTTTTGATAAATTTTATAAAAATCTATTTTTACTAGGGTAACGATTCATCGTTACCCTCGAAGTTTTGCTTAACAATGAGGGGTAACAATCGATCGGTACTTTCAGAAGCAAAGGTTAATAGGATAATTCTATTTATGATTCACTGTATCATTTGTAATAATTTCAGTCTGTAAACAGTTGTTGTTACAATATATTAAATATTTATTGTGTTTAATGCCTTCAATATTTAATGTCTAAACCTTCAGTGGGCTGATGAGGAGTACCCGAAAGCATTCCCTATATTAATCAAAGCTATATTTGAATAATTTGTGTTTTGGTTATTTAGTGATTATATTTCTTTTTGTCTTGTTGTGTTAAGCCCTTTTAATTATAACTGTAGACTAACAGACTAACTGATTAATGTGTAGTTAAATTTGGGGCTAGAAGCACATTTTATTTAGTTCAAAATATATTTAACTTGGATATGAACTGATACATACATTTTGCATTTTACACTAAAAGAAACAATCAATCATGATATTAAGTGCATCCCTTTTATTTACATAAGGGTCTGTTAAAAATTTATGAGTTTTCCATTATTTAAATTTGTATTTATGTATTAATTAAAATTATATTTCGAAAAATTAATTCATGTATAATTTGTTCAATTTTATCAATAAACTAATTATTGTCAGAAAATTTTTTAAAGTCCTTCAAATTACTTTAATTTTTGTTTTTATTTTCAGAATAGAGAACAGATTAATTCAGATCATCGATTAAAATTGCTGTTAGATGTAAATATATACATTTTTTTTTTAATTAAAAAGATATTATATTCTGGCACTGTATTAATTTTGAATAACATTACAAATTATTAATTTAATAAGAAGGCCTCAGTGAGAATAGATTTTTTATCTTCGATATTTGCTACAATTGACCAAAAAATGTTTAACATATTTTTTATGCACTTTGTTTTATTTCTAAATAAATCTGTTTCTTGTAAAATTATAAAATTTCATAATTTATCTAGTTTTAAAGATCATAGCTTCTTTCATTTTTTACTGGATACATTATTATTGGTGCTGTTGGATTTTTGTAGAAGTTTTTCATAGAAAGGAACTTGTTAACTCTAGGAGAAAGTTAAACTACAATGTTGAATATGGAAAAGAAATATTCTTTGTTTATTCTCTTGGAGAAAAC